AATAAAGCACATATCTTAGTTGGGGTCTGGAGGTGATAATTTGATGAAGATGATGTACTTGGGCTAATTTTAGTGGACTATGTATAAATTAGATGGTTTTGTAATTAGTTAGGCCTATTGAAATCAATGGCATTAACATTAAATGAGTTTGTTTTTTAATTTTTGGGGCTGTTTGTGGGTTGTTATGTTTTTATTTCATATTGATTCTAATTGTAAACATTTGTATTTTTTTTGAAACATTTGTCTTCCTTACTATTTTTCTTCTGCGATTCCCTTTTCACATTTTTCTTCAATTCCACCTGAAAATTGCTTGAATCCATAACATCGGTGTCATGTACCCAATATATAAGAAATAGGCTTTTATTAAGAAAATTATATTATATTGGTATTTTTTTTGGTACAAATTATATTAGTATTTTAGCTATTTATATTATATGTTAGTATTATTATAGCATATTATGATTTTGGAACTTAATCATGTGTTAGTAGAATGGGGGTTTAGCCTTTTATTATAGCTAATAATAGGATATGAGGTAATACTTGTAGTATTATAAATATGTATGTTGGTAATTGGTATTGGTGGAGCCAAATGGGGGACAATTCTCTCTCAATATTCTCTCTCTCTCCCCCAAATATTCCTCTTCTCTTCCCTCACGTGTTCTCCTTCTTTTATTCCCCCTTCTGTATCTCTCTGTATCTATCTCCCTCCACAGCTCTCAACTCTCTCATTTATCTACCAAAAAAATTACAGAAAAAATGAATACAAAAAATACACAAAAATCCAGGTTCATAACAATAGGCTTATTAGAAGCTTAATTAGGGCTAGCTACAAAATCTTGGTAGGGCTAATTACAAAATATTTCTACAAGACAAAGGTAATAAACTTTTTTTTTACCTGGGGCTGGAGCCCACCCTAGCTCATGAAGTCATGGGTGGCTCCGCCCCTGAGCTCTGGGCATATCACAACAAATGACTTGCAAATGACACCGCAAAAGGAATAACTACCACTGCAGCAAGAGGGCCTAGTAGTAAGACGTTGTCCTTCTTGTTCGCCCTCTTCCTGCTCTCGTTCATGAGGATTTGCCCGTCTTCAAAGGCAAAGATCGCTCTTAGAAGGATTTCTCGTTACTCATTGGAGAACTTTAGAATAGCACAATTCGTTAAATAACCAACAAAAAATTAAGAACAAAGAAAAACACATAGAACAAAGGAAACAACTAAAGTCTAAGAAGCCAACTAACAAATATACCAGTACAACAACAAAATTCTTGCCAATCTCTAACACCAGCATCTACTCATGATATAGAGCTCCTCCAAGTCTTTTTGAATATCCACAAACCTTTTGCTTTCCACAACCACCAGAGGATGTAAATTCATAGTTGGATTCTTGCCTCTGAGGTGGTGGTTTTGCTGAGTGTGCAGAATTTTTTGTCCACTAGGCTTTGAAATTGTCGGTTTCAGGTTGAAGACCATCCCAGATGATTGGAGCTAGTTTCCAAACTTTCCGAGCTCTAGGGCATGATCAAAATAAATGGTCTACAGTCTCTGGTCCTTCTCCACAGTTCAAGCAAGTGTTGTCCAATTCCAGTCATTTCTTGATCAAGTTGTAGTTAGCAGACAGTATGTTTTGCATGCTTTTCCAGAAGAAGTGCTTCACCTTCCTCTTGATTTTGAGTTCCCATCTCCTCTTTCTTATTGCAGTGTACAAATATTGATCTTTCTTCTTTTAGCCAGATTCAATCTTCTTCATTTTCCAGCTACTAATTTAGCATAAGATGAGGGCACTTAGAATTTACCTTTGCTTCCACATTCCCAAAGAAGTCTGTCTGGTTTGGTGGGCTCCAGTCCTTTGATGCTGAGTATGGCAAACATTTCCTTCTCATTAAACAGTTCATGCAGTGGTTCCATGTTCCAATGCCTTCCTATAGTGTCAAAAAGTTTTTTACCCAGTAGATAGGTTATACCATAATAGAGTAGGTATCCAGGGATAATCCCATATTTTCACTGAAGGTCCATCTTTTATCACATATCTGGCCCGGTCGTGGAAGATGTCTCCAACCTCAAGCTAGCTATTCCATAACCATGAGCTATTTTTCCTCATTTTCACTGCGAATAAGCTGTCATTGAGAAAGTATTTGCTTTTCAGTACTTGCTGACCAATATGTTGGGTTTGGTGAGGGTTCTCCATAGCTGCTTAGCTATTAGGGCTTTGTTGAATAAGTGAATATCCATGAAGTCCAAGCTTCCTTTGCCATTTGGTAGAGAGAGTACACTCCAAGATTTTCAGTGTATGCCTCTTTTGTTGTTAGCTCCATTGTTCCACCAGAAAGCTGCAAAGGTTTGGGTGGTCTTTTGTCATAGAGACTTTGGCAGAAGAAAGCATGACAAAACATATATAGGCAAAGCACAGAGTACTACCTTCAAAAGCATTTTCTTACCTGCCAGAGATAAGTACATGTTTTTCCAACTACATTTTATTATTATTTTTTTTTTTACATTTTCCAAAATGAAGCTGAAGATCTCCAATTTTGATTTCCTATCCCTATGGGAAAACCAAGGTAATTTAGATGAGGTGTGCATCCGAATACCCAACATAAGTTGACAAATTGAGAGTTTGGTTGAAGAGGGGTTATTTCTGCTTAAGAAGATTGAAGATTTTTCCAAGTTAATTTTTTGGCTAGATTATAACAATATAGAATTCTCAGAATGAGAGAGGCTTTGATGGGGTTTGCTTGAGTAAAAAGAAGTGTGTCATTTGCAAGAGAAGGTAGGCGAGGGGCCATTTTTGCAGAGCTTCAAACCTTTGAAGTTTCCCATTTCAGTTTATCGAATGAGTTAGTATTTCAGTAATTAAAATGAAAATATAAGGGAAATGTGGGTCCCCTTGTCTTATTCTTCGGTTGCCATTTTATGAATTCACAAAAAAAAAAAAAAAAAAAAAAAA